AAGCCATCCCCCACCACAGCCATCTGAATTTACAACCCACAGAATCTGTAACTATAATAAATAAATGGCTGTTGTAGGCTACTAGGTTTTGAGGCAATTTGTTAAACAGTGCTAAATTATTCTAATACTCCTAGAATAAGTGTGATTCTTACATTACTTGGATTTTTCTTGGTGTCATAATGGAAGTAAAGGTTTTCTGTATGCTTTCATATCATAGCCAGAATCTGCATGGCATCCTTAGAGTTTTCTGAGAATATCCCCGCTACCTGAACATTTATTTTCATAATGACTATCATGTGCCAGTCACAGTCCTAAGCATTGGGGATACAGCAATGAATATAAAAGACAGGCCCCCACTGTCATAGAAAAAAAAACCTTGATTTGCATTTTTGGCCCCTCCAGTTGCAAATGATTTCTGTGAAGGAAGAAGGGGGGGAGTAGCAATATGGAGTTTATTACAGTAATAACTTTTATATCTCTTTGGTTTAACATTATTATTGTCCACGAAGCTGTAATTTGCTTATTTTCACAACTGGATAATATTCTAATACAGAATAATATAAGTTCATTTACCCATTTCAATGTTGATAAACATCTGGGTTGCTTCCAGTTTTAGGCTATCATAACAATGTTGCTATGAACATTCTTGTATTCTGGTACATATGTGCCTTAGTTTCTCTAAAGAACAAATCTCAGAGTAGAATTGCTGGTCTTTACTAGATAATACCAAACTATTCTCCAAGGGGTGTGTCAATTTATACTCTCATTAGGATTGTATGGGAGGCTGTCAGTATTGTTGGACTTTTAATTTTTGCAGTCTTAGACTGCAATTAGACTGTATTACTTAGACTGTATTAGACTGCAATTAGACTGTATTACTAATGAAGTTGAAATCTTTGTTTATTGGTCCTTTGGTTACTCCTTATTTTTTAAATGTCTTATTTCCTCTTCTATTTTTTATTGTGATAAAAGATACATAAAATTTACCATTTTAACCAGCACATATGTACATGTATAATTCAATGGAATTAAGTACATTCACAATGTTTACTACCGAAGATTGTTTTTTTATGAATAGACTTTTGCCTATTTTCTTTCTAGTGTTTATTAAGTTCACAAACTTTGTGTATAGAGAGCTCAAGGAATTCTGACACATAATTGTTTATAACGTTCAATGTTCAAGATATCAAACATTTTTAGTACTTTTGAAGTCCCCAACCCTCAGGCTGCAAAGCTCTGTGCACCCCACCCCCAACCTGGTCTTTGGAAAAACTGTCTTCCATCAAACTGGTCCCTGGTGCCAAAAAGGCTAGGGACCACTGGTTTAGAAGGCTTCCTTATACTCCATTTTTATTGCCTTAAAAGTAACTGCTATTCTATCACCAGAGTAAGTACTTTTGTGTCTGCCTCCTTTCAGTTAACATTACATCTGTAGGTTTCATCTATTTTGTATAGGAGCAGTACATTTTATTTCATTACTTTGTAGTATCCCATTGTATAAATATAACACAATTTATCCATTCTTCAAATGATAAGCATGTGGGTTGTTTCCTGTGTTTAGTTATTAAGAATATTCTGCTACTATCAACATTCTTTTTAAAAGTATATTATTATTTTTTTAGAAATAGGGTCTCTCTCTGTTACCCAGGCTGGAATGCAGAGGCGTCATCATAGCAAACTCAAGTTCCTGGGCTCACGCAATCCTCCTGCCTCAGCCTCCGGAGTAGCTAGGACTATAGGTGCTCACCACCACACCTGGCTAATTTTTCATTCTAGAGACAGGGTCTCACTACATTGCCCAGGCTAGTCTTGACTCCTGAGTTCAAGCGATCCTCCCACTTTGGCCTCCCAGAGTGCTGGGATTACAGGTGTGAGCCACTGTGCTTGGCCTACCACAGACATTCTTTTCCATATCTTTTGATGAGCAAAAGCACCCATTTCTGTTCGTTATCTATTCAGGGTACATTTGCTGGGTCAATAGGGATTTTGTATATTTAATTTTGATGCTGCCACATGGTTTTTCAAAGCCGTTAATATGAATTTATACTCTTACTAGCAACATATGACAATTTCCAATTGCTTTTTTCCTCACTAATACCTGGCATTGTCAGCCGTTTTAATTTAATTTGGGTGTAGCTGTCTTTTTTTTTTTTTTGATTTGTAGGAATTCCTTACATATTCAAATATAATCAATCTTTTGGTTATATAGGCTACAATTTTCCTATTTCATGGCTTATTTTACTCTAAAATTAAGAAGGCCATAATTTTAATGAAGTCAAATTTTCCTTCTGCCTGAGGAATGTCCCTTAGAATTCCTTCAGGTCTGCTAGACCTGAAGTCTCCTGGTATTTGTTCATCTGAAAAAACAGTCTTGATTTCCCTTCATTCTCTGAAGATATTTTTGCCGGCTTTAGAAATTCTAGGTAGACAGACCACATTCTGGCTTTCATACTCAGTGCTAGGAAGTCAGTGGTCAGTCCGACTATGGTTCCTTAGAAGGTAACCTGTCTTTTTTCTCTAGTTGCTTTTAACACTTTATCTCTGTTGTTATGCAGTTTCAGGCTAGGTCTCAGAATCAATTTCCTTTAATGTTACTGCATTCTTTTTATTTTTTTAGACAGAGTTTCACATTGTTGCCCAGGCTAGAGTGAGTGCTGTGGCGTCAGCCTAGCTCACAGCAACCTCAAACTCCTGGGCTCAAGCTATCCTTCTGCCTCAGCCTCCTGAGTAGCTGGGACTACAGGCATGCGCCACCATGCCCGGCTAATTTTTTCTATATATGTTAGTTGGCCAATTAATTTCTTTCTATTTATAATAGAGACGGGATCTCACTCGTGCTCAGGCTGGTTTCGAACTCCTGACCTTGAGCAATCCACCCGCCTCAGCCTGTCAGAGTGCTAGGATTACAGGCGTGAGCCACCGTGCCTGGCCTGTTACTGCATTCTTTGTGGCACTTATTGGGCTCTTGAACTTGGGGGTTGCTATTATCTATTAGTTTTGGAAATTTGTCTTTTTCTCTAATATTGTCGCACATTCTGTCTCTCTTCTCCTTCTGTGACTCTGATTAAATGTATGTTACATTTTCTCCTGTAGATTTTTGTTCTCTTTTGTATTTTCCATCTTTTTTGCTCTCCATGATGCATTCCAGATAACTTAATTTGACCTACCTTCTAGTTCAAGGGTCACTAAACTACAGCTCAGGGGGCAAATCCAGGCCACGACCTATTTTTGTAAATAAAGCTCAACTGGAACATAATCATGTTCATTCATTTACATATTGTCTATAGCTGCTTTTGTACATGGTGGCAGAGACAAGTGGCTGTGACAGATGGACTATAGCCCTCAAAGCCTGAACACTATCTCACCCCCTTCTAGTAGATTACTACTGTTTTCAGCTGGGTCTAATCTGCTCAAAATATATTCACTGAGTTTTAAATTTTAATTATTGCATTTTTCTAGAAATTCTATTTGGTTTTTTTTCAAAGCTGCTATGACACTTTTTATTTCCTACTCCTTAATGGTATTTTCTTTTAAACATGTAAAACATAGTTGATTTATAGGTAGTCTCTGCAAAGGTATTTCTGATGTTTATTCTGGCTCTTACTCATAGTTCCTTATTTCCTTGTGTGACTAATTTAAGTGTGGGGATCAATGTTTTTAAAAATTGTAAGAATAATCTGAGGCCTAAAGTTCCTTTTGCTCAGAGGGTGTCTGTGCACTGCTTCTGCCACACATGGAGACACCACCCTGGTAGAACCACATCAGGCCAGTCCCAGCTTACTGTGAGGAAGGTCTCTACTTCATCCATATCTTAGTGATTTTTGTCCCTCTATCCTTGGGGTTTTTAAATAGAAAATCCAAATTTTCTCCGATTAGCAAATGCTGTCAGTGCGAAAGTAGCTTCTATGCACTACTTTACTTTTCTAGGCTCCCATTTTCCTTTTAATTTGGCTTGGCAAAATACCTTGTTAGCTTACCAGTGCATTTAAAAACATGGTTTTTATGTTGTATCTAGCATTTTTGGCAGTTTTCAGTAGGGAACTCAGTTTGAATAACCCAGTCCTTCATTATAAGAAACTGGAAATCAGAAGTTTCATTTCTCTCTTTTAAGAAAGACCACTGATGAGGGTGGAGTCCATCTTCAAACAAAGATGGAGATAAAGAAAATCTCCTATTGAAGATGTATAAGAATCATAAATTATGCCTAGCACTTTATTAACTGCTAGACTAATACTAATCTCACCTTCAGAAAGTCACCACCATTTCCAACACATGAGAGAGTTTTTATTCAGAAGGGCTCCTTAGGAGGTTGGTATGATCTCAAAGCAGCCGGAATGCGATAAAACAGTCAATTTAACCTCTCTGGGCCTTCAGTGTCCTCATCTCTCAAATGGAGATAATAATAGCACCTACCTCACCTTATAGAGGTGCTGTGAGGGTCACATGAATTGATTTGTATTAAGCACTTGATGCTATGCCTGGTACACAGATAAGTGCAAGCTATACAAAGTGGAATAGCTCAGCTCACCAAGAGTAGTCACTGGACCACATATAGCTTAGCACAGCGGCTGCACATGATCTCTGTTACATATTCTTCTTTTTTTTTTTTTTTAAACCCTTAAAAAATATAAAAATTATTCTTGGCTCAAGAATTAAAAAAAAACAAAAAACAAAAAAACAAGGCTGAGGGGAATATTTATCCCATGGACTGTAGTTGCCAACCCTTGGCCTAACAGAACAGGCCAACTGATAGAAATCAGGCAATGTGCTTTTAAAGTACTTTCCCAGACGGACTATCAAAGAAGAATCAAAATTCTAGTGATTCTCTCTCATCAGAGTTGACACTTCTGCATCCCCAAGTAGCTGAACAGAGTATAGCCTCAGAACCACATATGGCTGTTTGCTGGGCTTGGAGACATAACATGGATGATTATATTACAATGGTGAAAACTGGATGAGTTTGATATACGGGACATGAATACAGACAAACATATATTTACCTGGCCAAAGACTGTTCCACCAGTACTGGCTGCTTGACCAAACACAGAACCAGTATTACTAGACCCAAAACCTATAAAATACAAAGAAAACAAAAGTTCAATTTGGATAAGTCTTTTTTTACAACATCAAAATGTTGGTTTTTTTTTTTTTAATGGCATTTAGGTATGTTGAGATATCCCACAATAAATCAACTTATGAATAAAATGTTTCCCCGTCTAGAAAATGGAGAAAATTCTGAGTAAATACTTTCAGACCTTTTTTCACTGCTAACATTTTATAATAGTATAAATTCCAAGTTCCAAGGAAAGAATCTTTCTCTCCTATTAAATCTCAGGCGAAAAGGCTGTAAGATGGTGCACTCTCAGAGTGACTTCTCCCCAGACTTTTAGCCGCCAGGAATTCTCTACAATGACTAACTCACTATTGTGAATATTTCTATTCCCTGGTTTCTTATGAATCTCAAATGAAAGATTCTTTCAAGGTAGTTTACCTTTCTTCTAGATGGCATAACGTGGTTGAGGTGCTGGGCTGAGCAAGGCCTGGGAAAATCAGGCAGAACTATACATATTATAAAATCATAACAGAAGAACACTAGACAAGTGAACAGGCAGGAGTTCCAATTTCATTTCTGTCACTGATTAGGTCAGTGAGCTTGGGCAAATCTCAATTCCTCAACCAGGGCTACAGTACACAGCTCAGGTACCTTTCCACACAGTTACTAAACGAAAGAGGATTTCTCTAGGCGTTCTGAATAGTTTGGTCATACCTGTGCACGAGGTATTCTCAAGTTCTGACTGTAGAACAAATGATGCAATAGCAGTGGAGACCGTGTTAAATAGCCTACTGTCCTTTAAGACTCACAGGGCCTCCTCCCTGCCTGTCCTCTGGACTGAGTCAGTACACTGCCTCTCATTCAGAGAGGCCAACTGGCCTCTGCACAGGGCATCAGGAGGATATCAGAACTGTGTCTGTCTTTTCACCACAGTGTCCGCGTAGGTCTTAGGAGCTTAACAAGTATTTGTAAAGAAGGATGGAAGGAAGGAAAACATTCGTTTTCTGATAAATTATGAGCCATTTTCAAATAAATTATCACTGAAGAAATGAGCCTGTAGTTACTAGTAATCTTGTCCATCAGAAATCATTGATCCTTGTTTTCCCCCCAGAGCCTAACTGGGAAAGAACTGCCTTTTATAAGTTAGCTATTGGAAAGCAAATCTTAGAAAAGATTTTCAAATTGTCCCATCTATTGATAACTTTTAGAAGTAAAAGCAGCTGCTAAAATTGGACATACAATAGTTAAGGATTAAGTTTCAACTGTCAAAAATAGTAAAATTTTAACAGTTTTGAAAAAATCACAACATTGAAAATAGGGAAAAAACCCAAGTCCTCAAATGTCAGTACCCACCACTCCAGTAAGAAAGATGGTGGCAGACATTACTGACAGGGCAGTGAGGCCACTTGCACTCTCCTTTTGACCCCAATACTAGTGCTATCTGACATTGGATCAGCCTCCTTGAGGCTTGAAGCTTTGGACATAATGATCTCTAAAGCATCTTCCAAGTTGAAAATGTCTTATTTATGAGAAATTAAATTACTTGCCATGACCTTAAACTAAAGATCCTTGTTTTTTCCCCATGGAACTGGCACTCTGGTGGCTAGCAGAGTAGACAACTTGTTAAGAAGCATAACTGGAGCTGCACTGAGCTGGAACAGATCCAGCCAATTAGGCCAAAGAAATTCTTGAGACCACATGTGCTCCAAGCTCCCTTATGGGTTTTTTGTTTTTCCCTTTCTTTTTTTAATTATAAGAGTAATGCAGGTTTGTTGCAAATGTTTCAAATAATACAGAGGGAACAAGTAAAAAGTTTCTGTAAATTCTTACCTGAAGCTTGACAAAAGCTAAACCCAGATGATGCTGCCGTGGTGGTGGTGGCTGAGGTACTGCCAAATACAGAGCCTCCCTGCCCGAAGCCGGGACTCTGACCAAAAGCAGGAGGATTGCTTTGGCCAAACAGCCCCCCTCCTGCGTTGGCAGAAGACTGTCCAAATGAGAAGGAACCAGAACTACTGGCACTTGAAGAGGCACCGAAGACATTCCCACTGGTGGATGTGGGGGTGGAGGAAGCGGACTGACCGAAGACAGGCACAGAACTGAAGCCAGGCTGACTGAAGGAGAAGCCACCTGCAGGGCTGCTCGTTGACTGCCCGAAGGCTGGGGCCTGCCCAAATGTCGTCTGTCCAAAGACCCCTGGGGCTGAGGTGCCAAAAGCTGGACTGCCAAACCCTGAGCTGCTGACCTGTGGCGTGGCGGTGGCTGTGCTGGCTACGCTGCCTGTCTGCTGCCCAAACACGCTCGGAGCGGTGCTGGCTGCCACCTGCCCAAACACAGGGGTGGCAGAGGGGGCAGTGGCTGTGTTGTTGGTGAGCTGGCTGAAAGCTGAGCTAGAACTGGCAGCAGGTGGCTGAGTAAAGACCGATGAGCCAGAAGTGACAGTCCCAAACACTGCTGCTTCTGTAGCTGGGCCTGGAGCAACACTGGAAGCAGTGCTGGAGCTTGTGGGGGCACTTGATGTTTCGATGGTCACAGGGCCTGCACTTGAGACGGCAGCTGCTGTGCCAGCAGTCTGTCCAGACACTGAAAAGGTGGAAGCTGGGGATATTGCCTCCGTCCTGACATCAGGGTCCCCAGTAGCTGCTGGAGTGGCCTCTGCAGGAGGTGCTATGAGACTGGTACTAGATGCTGCAGTGCCTGGGGTGCTGACTGAAGGCTGGGCAAGAACAGGTTCTTTTTTAACAGAGTCCGAAGTTTGCAGAGGAGCCTGAGGAAGCTGGGCTGGTGGCTGATGCCCCAGAAGAGAGGCTGTTGATGCTGAGCCCTCACTGTTGCCTGGCTTCTCAGGCAAAGCCGATGATGCAGCTGCCTCTGTGCTTTTGCCAGAGGACACAGGCAGGGACGGAGTAGACGCTGGACTCAGGAGGCTACCGAACGACAATGTGGGGAATGGTGTTGGAAGGGGAGTGGCATTAGCAGTTGTAGTCGATGGTGGGGCAGATGGGGGCACTATGCTACTGGTCTGTTGGATTCCAAATGAAAAACTAGTCTTGCCACTACTTAGAGATGTCCCACCAAAATTGATCATCCCCCCAGAGGGCCCTGCGCTGGTGAGTGGCAGACTGCCAAACACGCCAGTTGAGGAACTGCTAGTGCTTGTGCTTGAGACTACTGGTGATGCTACCGTGGTAGTGGTGACAGAAGAAGTCACAGGGGGTTCCACATGCTTCCCTAATGCTGGAGGGCCAGTAAAACTAAACCCTGAGGGCGCGTTTGACGTCTTAGTGGGCTGGACACTAGTTAGGCTTGTGGATGAAGTCTTACTAGCTGCCTTTGTAGAATCATCTGCTTGGCCAACCCGCAGTCCTGAGAAACTTCCTAGAGTCTCTCCAGCCAAAGAATTTGGAAACAGAGGCTCTCCCACCTTGGATGGTGGAGTTTCCAGCTTGCTGGAGGCAGTGGAAAGAGCACTTCCAGAAGGGGCTGCAGGTCTGCTGCTTGATGGAGCAGCTTCTCCTGGAGAAGCGACAGCAGCTGCTGTTAAGTTGGATGCCGACGTGACTCCTGAGGTCGGGGAGCTCTCAGGAACAGTCTCATAAAAAGGTTTGCCTCCCCCGCCAAACGAGAATGTGTCGAGCTGGTTTGATTCTTTAGTGGAGGGTGCTGTCCCTAATAAAAAGAAATGAGGAGATGGGTTTGACTTAGCAAACCTATCACAGTTCCACTGATTGGATTTCTAAGCCACAGCTCTCTCCCCTGAAGAATGGGGGTAGCTTGCTATAACAACAGTTTTCTTTGGGGAGGACAGAATGAATGCTTCTCTATAGCATTGCTAGCTCTAAGTCATCTCACTGAGGTGAAAAGGAACAAATATTCTTTTTATGACCACTAAATCACAACAAATACATGACATCTAGAATACATGACATCTAGAATACATGAAATTAATGTATTATCCCAAAAGAGAAATAAAAAGACATCTTCCCTTATATTCCAATGACCATCTGTGTGCTTTCTTCAATAACATCCTCAGACAGTGTTGGCCAATAGACCTACTGATAGACTAGGATTTGATTCAAAATGGAAGTTCTTTTTCTTTTTTTAGGCAGAGACTCACTCTGCTACCCTGGCTAGAGTGCCGTGGCATCAGCCTAGCTCACAGCAATCTCAAACTCCTGGGCTCAAGCAATCCTGCTACCTCAGCCTCCCAAGTAGCTAGGACCACAGGCATGTGCCACCACGCCCGGCTTTTTTTTCTATGTATTTTTAGATGGCAAATTAATTTCTTTCTATTTTTAGTAGAGACGGGGGTCTTACTCTTGCTAAGGCTGGTTTTGAACTCCTGACCTTGAGTGATCCACCCACCTCGGCCTGCCAGAGTGCTAGTATTACAGGCATGACCCACTGGGCCTGGCCTTTTTCATTGTTTTTTTTTGGGCAAATAAAGTGTTAATCCACAATCATTTTTACATACAATTAATGGTTACTTGCTAAATGGTCTACTAAGTAGGCTATTTTACAGAGGCAGCATGGCCTAGTGATCAAGAACATGGACTCTGGAACTAGCACTTTTGCCACTTGATGGCTGTGTAACTCCAGAAAGGTTACTTTACCTCTCTGGGTCTCAACTTCCCCATCTGGAAAAGCTAGATAATTATAATGCCTACCCTCATAGAGCTGTTACAAAGATCAAATGACGTACAGGTAAAGCACTCACAAAAAGGTCTGATCAAACAATAGTAGTCAGTAAATAAGAGTAACAAAAATATGATATTCATAAAGTAAAATTAGCCTATTGCAAATGTCTACTGACATTTCTAACTCCATATTGTTTTAAGACATCTGGCTATGACATACTCGTGGGAACACTGCAAAGCCCCTACTACCTATAATCTCCAGAAAGAACTCTTTGTACAGCTCGTGTTGTACTGAGCTGTTTATGGTTTGGGATTGTTGTCTAGTCTCATATTAATTATAATGTTTATATCAAATTATGATTGTTTTTTATTTCCATTTTATTTTCCTTATGATTTTTGACAATTATTTTGTTCCTCTCCAAACACTGAGTTTTTTTTCTTCTAGACAGTAAGAACGGAAAGGAGGTGGGCCGTCAGGGTTGTTCTGCCACATCTAACTGGGCAAAGGATAAAAACAAGTTTTAAGAATTACTGTTCAAGAGAGAAAGGAATGAAGCACAAGCCTTTCTGTGCCATATTCAGACCAGGTTTAGGAAGTCTGCTATACTTCCAGCTCCCCAATCTCCCTCTAGACATCAGGAAATCCTGTTTCCACAGAAAAAATTCTACCACGTGGGTAGGCACATAAAAAGCATTCAAAATATATTTGTTCAGTAAATAAATGATAGATGGTCACTGTTTTATTTATAATAGGGGAAACATGGAAATAACTGAAATGTCCAATAGGTGAATGGTTAAAAAAATCTTCAAGACAGAATTATGAAGCCATTAAAAATTACATTTACAAGATTCTCAATAATATTGGAAAATTCGTAAGAGATTGTGTTAATGAAAAAAAAGTAGAAGACAAAATCCCCAGAAGTAAATATAATAGTACAATAGTTATTACCAAGGGGTACAATGTGGAATTCTAAACTCCTTTATGCTTTTTAATATCTCCATATTTTGCTCAAAAAGAACACTGGGGTGGGTGTATGGCTTATGCCTATAATTCTAGCACTTTGGAAGGCTGAGGCAGGAGGATCGCTTGAAGTCAGGAGTTTGAGACCAGACTGGGCAACATAGTGAGACCCTGTTTCTACTACAAAAAATAATAAGCGAGGCATGGTGGTGTGCGCCTATAGTCCTAGCTACTCAGGAGGCTGGGGCAGAGGATCGCTTGAGCCTAGGAGTCTGAGGTTGCAGTGAGCTATGACGACATCATTGCACTCTAACCAGGGCAATAGAATAAGATCCTGTTCTCAAAAAACAAAACAAAAAAGTACAGCACCTCATTTTCATAATTAAAACTTTCTTTTTAAAATAAAAGAAAAATAAATCTAATAACTTAAACTGATAACTGGAAGGCACTTAACCAATAGATTTGGTTTCTTTATAGGTCTTCAAATTCTTTTAAACATTAAAAACACGCTAACTGATGGATCTGTAACAACATGCATGGGACCAGTGTGTTTGCAGATATGTTATCAAGCAAAAACAATGAATTTGGTCTTTTATTTCTATAGTATTATGTCTATCTCACCCTACAGAATCACCCAACAAATTGATAAAATTTTAATTTTAGATGGAAATGGTAGAGAAAGAAATTTTTTTTTTTTTTTTTGAGACAGAGTCTCACTCTGTTGTCCAGGCTAGAGTGAGTGCCGTGGCGTCAGCCTAGCTCACAGCAACCTCAAACTCCTGGGCTCGAGTGATCCTTCTGCCTCAGCCTCCCGAGTAGCTGGGACTACAGGCATGCGCCACTATGCCCGGCTAATTTTTTTTTTATATATATATATCATTTGGCCAATTAATTTCTTTCTGTTTAGAGACGGGGTCTCGCTCTTGCTCAGGCTGGTTTTGAACTCCTGACCTTGAGCAATCCGCCCGCCTCGGCCTCCCAAGAGCTAGGATTACAGGCGTGAGCCACAGCGCCCGGCCGAGAAAGAAATTTTAATTCATATGTTAACACTTAAATATTAAATGTTGACTTCAGCCTTGATTTTTTTTTTTGAGACAAAGTCTCACTCTGTTGCCCTGGCTAGAGTGCTGTGGCGTCAGCCTAGCTCACAGCAACCTCAAACTCCTGGGCTCAAGCAATCCTTCTGCCTCAGCCTTCCGAGTAGCTGGGACTATAGGCATGTGCCACTATGCCCGGCTAATTTTTTCTACATATTTTTAGTTGGCCAATTAATTTCTTTCTATTTTTAGTAAAGATGGGGTCTCACTCTTGCTTAGGCTGGTTTTGAACTCCTGACCTTGAGCGATCTGCCTGCCTGGGCCTCCCAGAGTGCTGGGATTACAGGCGTGAGCCACCAAGCCTGGCCTCAGTCTTTATTTTTACAGCAGCAAATCCCTTGTTCTTAATTATGAAAATAGACCGAAATCCTTCAGAGTAGTTTCTTAAATTGAGCCTATTTCTAATGCACATTAGCAACAACAAACTTTACTGCAGATACTATAAATAAGACTCAGGAGCAAGTAAAATGTCAACACATCTGTATAAAAATAACCAGCACTTGTTTAGGGAAAACATATAAGTAATGCTATACAACAGAGACTTTTACCTTGTGTGGCAGTGAAATTAGAAGATGGTGTTGGTGTGATTATCCCAAAATTAAAGCCAGTCCTAATGAGTAGAAAAAGAGAAGTTAAAAAGGAACAAACCTAAGGCACAATATTGCCCTTTATAATAATTCCATTTTATAATTCATTCATACAAACTACCTTCAAGGAATTTACAATCTAGAAGATAAACAATAGACTTCAAGCATACATTTCAGAAGCAGTAAGGCCACTCCAAGCAGTTCTGGGTGAGGTAAGAAGACAGTAGCAGCTGAAAAGCCTTGGAGGGACGGCTAGGCTTTCCATGGTAGAGGTTTGGGTGGGGACTTATTCCAAGCAAAGCAAAGTTGCAATAGTAGAAACATACGAAGACATACGTGGGAATGGTGGCCAGAGCACATGGTCTGCATAGTGAAAGTAAGGCAGCTCTGGCAAGACAGAGGCAGTTGAATTAGGGAGAGCCACTTGTAACCAGGCCCAAGATCAAGGAGCATGCTGGACAGCCTTGCACTGCTAGAGCAGATGAATAGAATAAAATAGAAGACCTTGTCCCTGTCATTTTGACAGAGCTCTGAATTCTGGGCTGGGAAAATAATGGTTCAAAAACTTTCTGACTCTTTTTACCATCTCCTCTCTCCTTTCTATACATTTTCTTTACACTATAAAGACACCATAGCCAAAGAAGAAAATTCAGGACAAGTATGAACTAGAATAGAGCATTCACTGTGATAAAAGCTCACAACAGCAGATTTTAAACTAAATAGAGTTTTAAAATGTAAGAAACCAAGCACATCAAATGTAGTAAATAATGTAAGAATTTAGATTATTTTCTATCCATCATCGCCTTCTTCAAGTGGACAAAGACAACCTGGAAGATGTGCTAAACATTTTATCATATTACACACACACACACATACACACACACACACACAAACCCTTTATTAGTAGGTCTCAACCTTGGTGAAGAAATTTTACATATCAAATGGACTGATGAGGGGCTACTAAAAAATAATAATAAAAGAAATTTAACCTAATAGAGGCAAGCCATTGACTTATAACTTAAAAATTTCCAGCTTTAAAACAGGGAAGAAGAGTAAAGGATGCAACAGTTCTTGGTATTGAACTCTTCTTTAAAATTTCCTCCAAATAACCTTTGGGAAGTATAAAACATAATGATTTACAATAGAGAAAAAATACAGCCAGCTACAGTGGCTCATGCCTGTAATCCTGGAACTCTGGCAGGCTGGGGTGGGATGATTGCTTGAGGCCAGGAGTTTGAGACCAACCCAGGCAACACAGTGAGACTCCCACCTCTACAAAAAATAAAAAAAATTAGCCGAGCATGGTGGCGTACCTATAGTCTCAGTTATTCAGGAGGCTGAAGCAGGAGGATGGCTTGAGCCCAGGAGTTTGAGGTTATGGTGAGCTAATAGCACACCACAGTACCCCAGCCTGGGTGACAGAGACTCTGTCTCTAAATAAATAAATAAAATAAAATCTGTACAACTGAGAAGCAGGCAACAGAGCAAGACCCTGTCTCTAAAAAAAAGAAAAGAAAAAATACATATAATATATAACATTCCCCCCCAAATTATATTCTAATACCCTCTTTTCTCTTAACACATTAGGCTGAAGGACACTCAAACATATTGACATTAGGAAGAAGAGACTTTAGTTAACATGATTTCAGTTACAAAGGCATAAACTAAGAGAGTTTAAGAGGCTTTTCTAATAGAAATGAATGCACAACACTTCAACAGCAAAAATCTTTTGACAGGTTTTGATCTCAGCTACACAGAATCTAACTGCATTGCTGTAAGAACAATGCTGCAGCAGCTCACACAGGTAATAGCATGAGTGTCTGTAAATGACACAACAGGCACCCTCACTCCAAGGTTAACAAAGACTTACCTTAGAATGAGATGTAGAAGATTCTTTCATTTTTAAAATGACTCAACTTTTATAAGTGTCATCACCATTATTTTTTTTTTTTTTTTTGAGACAGAGTCTCGCTTTGTTGCCCAGGCTAGAGTGAGTGCCGTGGCGTCAGCCTAGCTCACAGCAACCTCAAACTCCTGGCTCAAGCAATCCTCCTGCCTCAGCCTCCCAAGTAGCTGGGACTACAGGCATTCGCCACCATGCCCGGCTAATTTTTTTTTATATATATTAGTTGGCCAATTAATTTCTTTCTATTTATAGTAGAGACGGGGTCTCACTCTTGCTCAGGCTGGTTTCGAACTCCTGACCTCGGGCAATCCGCCCGCCTTGGCCTCCCAGAGAGCTAGGATTACAGGCGTGAGCCACCGCGCCCAGCCATCACCATTATTTTTTTAAAAATGAAATAGCAGATTTCTTCATATCTATATGAACCCACAATTTCAAGCAGCTACAGTCTTTTTTTTTTTTTTTTGAGACAGAGTCTCGCTTTGTTGTCCAGGCTAGAGTGAGTGCCTGGCGTCAGCCTAGCTCACAGCAACCTCAAACTCCTGGGCTTGAGTGATCCTTCTGCCTCAGCCTCCCGAGTAGCTGGGACTACAGGCATGCGCCACCATGCCCGGCTAATTTTTTATATATATATCAGTTGGCCAATTAATTTCTTTCTATTTATAGTAGAGACGGGGTCTCGCTCTTGCTCAGGCTGGTTTTGAACTCCTGACCTTGAGCAATCCGCCCGCCTCGGCCTCCCAAGAGCTAGGATTACAGGCGTGAGCCACAGCGCCCGGCCGGCAGCTACAGTCTTTTAACACATTCTCTAAGTTTAGTATATTCAACTCTCAAAACGGTAAAGCCAATTTAATTGTCACATCTAGCCCCCAAATGGTATCAGAATGAAGATATCTTAGTGTAACAAACTAATGTATAGAATTTAACAGACCCACTACCCAAAGAAAACGAGGCTTACGATAAAAAAAAACAAATAAATATGTAATAATACATGTATTAATATAAACTTGAACCACAAAGGGGAAACAGACTTACATTAGAACATTAAGTCATTGCCACTATCGTCAGATATGTTACTGGAGTGATAAGAACTTTGGCAACCCTAACTTTGGGTTTAGGCACATTTAAGAAGCATATAAACATATGATTTTAAGATTTGGAGAAGCTATCTACCATGTTTCCCCAAAAATAAGACAGGGTCTCATATTTATTTTTCCTCAAGAAGACACCCTAGGGCTTCTTTTCAGGGGATGTGTTATTTTCCCCTCAAAGCCTCAGCTTGCAGCATGCAGAGGATGGCAGGGACCTGACAGGGGGAGCCGACCTTGTTCGTGGGGCTGCCCACACATTTCTGGTCACCTCTGGGATAGTAGCTGTCACGATGGGGCAGATGAGAAGGGCTGCTCATCTTCTTTACCGCTCCGCGATGAAATGCATGGGTTGTGCAGATAGGCTGCGTAGCCACACCTGTCACTAGGTCTTATTTTCGGGGTAGGGCTTATATTGCGCAAACGCTTAGAAATCCTGCTAGGGCTTATTTTATGGGTAGGTCTTATTTTCAGAGAAACACGGTATAGGGTTGCAAGCAATTTGCCACAAAACTTAAATTCATTACTGACCCTGATGGAGAAAATGAGAAAGGCTTGCTGAACTGCCCAGCAGCAGATGGAGTTGAAGTCACTATTGTTTCTATCTTGGCTGTCCCTGGCCCTGAAATCATGGAAAAAGATAAAGAACATTATAAAAAGTCAGTTAGAAACACTTGCAGTTTGTAACTCCCTGCAGCTCAGAGCCACTGCTTTAGTTTTGTGGACCTCACGTGCATTCTGTGACAGGCCAGGTGCCAAGGGGAGTGAGCACATTGCCTAATTTATGCTCAAAGTCTCTGAACTTGCTCTTTGGCTCTATCGATGTTAATTCCAATCTAAGGCATGCCACACACTCCTTTCCAGAAAAGATACCAAAATAATTCTAGGGCAGTTTAAACTTAAAATTTTAAAAGTATATTCTTATTGGTTTCAGTGGTATGGAAAAATGCTTATAATGTGAGGATATGCCAAAAAAATTCAAAAACTGTATATAATGTAGCTTTAAAATTATTTGAAATTAATACATGCTGAATGGAAAAAATTCAAAGAGAAACAGGTTAACCAGCTAAACATTTGAGTTGTGGCTTTAAGGCTGCCTATTTACTTCTATATACATTTCTGCATTTTTCTATAGATTTTTTTGTATTTAACAAATTCAGTTTTCTTTCTTTTTTTTAAATTACAGAGGTAATACATGATTGTTATAATATAGGGACACGGAGAAAGTGAAAAGTGCAACCCACAGCTTCCCCATGTTCAATTGCACTCTATTTACTAATAGTGTGGGGTATAATTTTTCATCTTTTCCTATTGCTCTACTTTAAAAAGGGTAGGAGAATGGAAAAACTACATTTTTAAATCCCAAATCAAACCAAACTAAACCAAACAACAATAAGAAAAAAATACTTTCTCCTTAAATGAATATAGGGTAGATGTTAATAGAGATATTCTTAAAAGTACTGGAACACAAGGTAGTATGTATAAGGATGTTCAATGCGGCCTTGCCTATGAGCTTGAAAAATCAGAAACAACCTTGACTACCAGCAGTGTACTAGTAAAACTTAACAGGAGCAACTACTCAATGAAATCACAGGCAGCCATTAAAATGAGTAAGGCAGATGTATTAAAGCTGGAAAGATGACCAAGACATTCATTTTAAGTAGGGGTAGAGAAGGGAAAACAGGTTACAAAATCAGTAGCTATAGGATATGTCTTTTTTTAAAAAAAAAAACAATAACAATGAAGTAATCTTAAGAGATATACATGAAATTATTTTCTCTGGAACATGGAATTTATAAGGCAGCTTTCACTTCCTTACATTATATATCTACACCATAGACTTTTTTGTAGACATATAATAGTTTTAAAATCAGAAACACAATGAAGTATTGTCATTATTAATAGGAGAACTATTCTATAAAGGTTTTAGAAATGCTTTCTTAAAAAGAAACTTTTTGCAATCTCTTAAATACTATCTTTCAGAGATGTTTTCCTACCAAAAGAAAAAAGTTCTTTTCTCAACCTTGACTACCCAGCAAGTAAAAACAGAAGTAAACATCTAGCAATCAAAGAAAGTGATTCATGATCATCACTGAATGGTGAATTTTAGAAATTTCTTTACAAGTCACACTACTTGCCTAAGATATGCATGAAGCAAAGTCTCTTAGGTTTCCTTGATTCACTTTAAGAGTGACAAAAAAACACTACCCAATAAAGTCTTTGAAAAATGTTAGGATATATGATCTCTCAAAAACTTCTGGCCAGGCGCAGAGGCTCATACCTGTTGTCCTAGCATTCTGGGAGGCTGAGGCAGCAAGATCGCTTGAGGTCAGGAGTTCAAGACCAGCATGAGCTACACAGTAAGACCCCATCTCTACAAAAATAGACTAATTAGCCAGGCATAGTGGCGTGTACCTGTAGTCCTAGCTACTCTGGAAGCTGATGCAGGAGGATTGCTCAAGAAAGATCTAAAATATTAGTCAGAAAAAAAACAAATTTTGCATTTTTTTTTTTGTTTTTGAGACAGAGTCTCACTCTGTTGCCCCAGGTAGAGTGCAGTGGTGTTATCATAGCTCACTGCAACCTCCAGCTCCTGGGCTCAAACCATCTCCTGCCTCAGCTTCCCGAGTAGCTGGGACTACAGGTGCACATCATAATGCCCAACTAATTTTTCTATTTTTAGTAGAGATGGGGTCTCGCTCTCAAACTCCTAAATTCAAGTGATCCTCCCACCTCGGCCTCCCAGAGTGCAAGATTATAGGCTTGAGCTGCGGCCAGCCCAATGTCTCAATTTGAATCCTAAATGATTCAGAAGTCTTTGACAATTTCACTAAAATTTTCCTTTTAACATAAAGCTGTAGGCCCCAGTTGAGAAGTGCTTTATACCTCCTTCTTATGTGAGGCATACATGATATCAACTGTGGTTCTGCATCAATCCAAATTCTACAATACAACTTTGGCTTACACAATAATGGTTTTCTTCTGAGTGAAAGGAATATTGCACTGAAGATAAATGCAATATCCAATTAGAAAGCTCTGGATTACCGAGAAAAGGTAGAATGATTCCATGACTGAGTAGAGATTATGGAAAGTAGGCTGCTAATATGTCAAGTTCAGGGTTTCTAACAGAATTTGCTTTAAGACCCACTTGAGAGCATGAATCAAAATAAAAGCGAGAGTCCAGAGTGTGGTGAAAATGGAGGACTGCAGGCAGCACAAAACCCTTGGAGTGGGAAGCAATACAGGCCAAACTAGGTGGGCTATGAAAAAGCAGCCAACAAAAGGGGACACTGAGAAAGACTGACAGGAAACTTAGGTTATAAATAAAAACCTTCTGCTTCAAGTTGGCTTGGGAAAATGTTTGATCAGATGTTTGTGAAAGTTAATTAAGAATAATTATGCTTGAGTGAGTGTTGGGAAAGCATGTGATGCCATAAAATCTTATAATATTGACTTAATATATCTACTCTGAGATCTTATACTGAAACAAATTTGTTTTACTTTTTATATCTTATCGGCTTCTGAACTGTCACTGTGAACCAAGAGAATTTTTAATTCCTTTTAGTAGAAGAAATAGAGTTCAAGATTCTGATCCACTCCTCTCTAAAGTCCGACTATGCAGCTAGCCAGAAGAAAATACTATTGATCGTTTTTAGGAAAAGATTTTAAACTAAGGTTTTTCTCCTATTACTCTAATGTTTTTCAAACTAACCTCAAAATTTCAGAAGTCTACATAGCTGTTGAAGGGTTCACTAATTTTCCAGAAATTCTTCATTAGCTGAGGTCTTACAAATATGATCTCTGTACCTGATTTCCTACAACAGCTGCCTGTGAGATCTAGAATGATAAACTCTACTGCAGAGTGGTTCTTTTACCTTTGTTTTCAGAAAAACAAAAACACAAACTGACCTGAAGCTTTATCACCAGATGACAACAGACTGGATGATGGTGTGGGCCCAGATGGCTTTAGGGAATTTATTTGAGGCCCCTGTAACAGAATACAAGCAAAATATTTATGTTAAACCACTAACCATTCTTCGCAATAAAGGAACATGTAAAATGTAAATGTAAAAATACAATTACAGTAAGCAAATACACTTTTTTTTAGCTTAATTACAAAAAGAAAGGAGAGAGAAATAAAGACCCAATTTAAGTCAATCATTTGTTTTAAGATCACTTTAGAGGATGGATATAGAAATATTCTGCAAGCTCCAAAAAGGCAGAGTTATGACCGTCTAGTTCATGGCTATTCTCCCAGTGTCCATAAAAGATAACTGAATACTTAATAGATGAATTAATGAATGAGTATATGAATAAAATGATTCTAGCTCTCAATGAATTTACAATAAGATTAAATGCAAAATTGTTCAATTTATCCATCTCTAGTCAATGTTCCTTCACTAATTTGTCACGATTTATGCCTTACCATGTGTCTTCCTCTGTGAACACGAAAACCTCCACAAGAAAGATGAAATGCTAAATGCTTAAATGCCATTTTTTAAGTCATGGTGAACTAAAGAATATAGGGTTGAGAACTCACAACAGCCTAGTCCTGATGTTACGTTCAGTCTCAAACTCCGATCTCAAACTGAGACGAAAGTTATTCATCCCAGAAAAAGATGTAAGAACAGCAGCACATTTCTTAGGAAAAGCTTCAGAGATAGCTTGATCTACCTTCCAGCTACCCCTTATTATTTTATTCTGGTTTATTTAACCATTTGCAACATAATTTGTTTTTGTAGATGACAATGTTTATTAGGCAAAAGCTGAAGCTAGACATAACATAACTGAAAATATGAAAACTCTGAAAAATAGGGTTTTTGCAGGAGAAAACAAGATAACCTATCCCTCCAGCAATGACACTGAACAGTGTAGTGAAAACTGCAGTGGACGAGAAGTCAGAAACCTTGAGTCCCAGCTCTTGTCCCACCATTTACTAACTGTGGTGAACGTACATTAGTGTCAAGCGTAGGCTTCTTACATCAGTGAGACATATCTAAACATCTATCCTACCTACCGCACATGGCTGTTCAATGGATTAACTGAGATAATGTTAAATGAAAGTGAAATGCAAATAAAAACTCCTCATACAACGTAGGGTATTAGAATTATGACCGAAGACTTCTAGAATGTGAAATGGCCTATGAAGACAATATGAGGTCCTGACTGGCCACCAAGGTTAATAACTATGTCAAGACTGGCATAAATTGTGGGGAAAGGATCACACATCTTTATCAGACTTATGGTTCATTTAAACAAAGTCAGGACTTAGAACAGTCGAGTTTTCAATTACAGACACTGCATGAATGCTAAAGTAAAAATCAATGCGTTACCTGTTTGGCTTGGTTAGCAGCCACTGGGGCTAACACTGGGTGAGGTGTTTTGGCTGTAGAGTATGGCACTGATGAACTGGAAAACACACAAAGTGTACACTCAGAGAAAGCCATGACTTGGTAAAAAGCACATTCATCTTTGGGTCAATTTTCTGTCTAATAAATGATATCAATTTTAGGTAGAACACAAATGATGTCTGGGACCCCAACCAAACTCATTTGACAGTTTCTTGATTGAAGAATAAATTTTTAGGCCATGCACGGTAGCTCATGCCTGTAAACCTAGCACTCTGGGAGGCTGAGGCAAGAGTATTGCTTGAGCTTAGGAGTTCAAGACCAGCCTGAGAAAGAGCCAGATGCTATCTCTATTAAAAATAGAAAAAATTAGCCTGGTGTGGTGGCTCGTGCCTGTAGTCCCAGATGCCTGGGAGGCTGAGGAAGGAGAATCACTAGAGCTAGGAGTTTGAGGCTGCAGTGAGCTATGATGATGTGACTACATTCTACCCAGGGCAACAGAGTGAGACTCTGACTAAAAAAAATTAAATAAATTGTAAAAATGAAATCTAGGTTTTTTTAGCATCAAAGTCAACCTTTAAACTTATTTCCTTCTTGCAATCTTAAGAAAAAATTTCTAACTATTCAGAACTAGGTATTTTTCTTTCTCTTTTTTCTTTTTTTTAAGACAGAGTCTGGTTCTGTTGCCTGGGCTAGAGTGTTGTGGCATCAGCCTAGCTCACAGCAACCTAAAACTCCTGAGGCTCCTGCCTCAGCCTCCAGAGCAGCTGGGATTACAGGCATGCGCCACCACACCCAGCTAATTCTTATATATTAGTTGCCTGGCTAATTTCTTTCTATTTTTAGTAGAGACAGGGTCTTGCTCTTGCTGAGGCTGGTTTCGAACTCCTGACCTCAATCCATCCTCCCACCTTGGCCTCCCAGAGTGCTAGGAGTACAGGCATGAGCCACCGTGCCCAGCCTAGATAATTTTCTTATCTGAAGAGAAAGCCCTTCCTCTTCCCAGCCCTTCCCTCATTCTAGACCACAGGGAATTCCTGATTCTCTGAAAAAATGTTCACCAGGATCCATGGGGTACATTCGATTTGCTGCCACATATGGCACAAATGTGCTACCCAAAGAAGAAATCCCAGCTTCTCATAGCAGCTATCCCCAAGAGCCATGCCCAGCGGGTCAGCATATAAGGGATTCAAACATACCCCTCTTTCATTTCCACCTGCACCTTTGCTAAGGCACGAAAAGTGCACCCCTATTTGCAGAAAGAGTTCTCACCATCTCTTGTTATCCCTGAACACATATGCAAGGAACTATAATTTCAATGGTTACCTAGTTGTTAATAAATTGGAAAATCACCTGTTAGTACAATCATAGACAAAATTTCTTGGCTCCTGGCAGCAATTTTTTCAGGCAATTGCTTTTTCCTCAGCCCAAAGCTACTTTCACCAGTACATATATCAATAGAATTCATAGCTCTGGTTTTATTTTTCAGAAGTCCCCTTAGATTTAAGGAGGATTAATATTTTTCCATCAAAAACTTAACTTGGAAGAGAAAAGACAAAAATAGGCTCATACTCATAGAAGAAAATTATCAAGCAACTTAACAATCCTCACAAGTATACAGGGAATCTCTGCTGTATTAATGCAGGTATTTTCCCAAATCAGACTTTATTAGATTGAGAGAGAAGAAAAATGGGCATATTTTCTTCCTTTTTTTTGAGACAGGGTCTCACTTTGTTGCCCAGGCTACAGTGAGTGCCGTGGCGTCAGCCTAGCTCACAGCAACCTCAAACTCCTGGCTCAAGCAATCCTCCTGCCTCAGCCTCCCGAGTAGCTGGGACTACAGGCATGCGCCACCATGCCCGGCTAATTTTTTATATATATGTATTAGTTGGCCAATTAATTTCTTTCTATTTATAGTAGAGACGGGGTCTCGCTCTTGCTCAGGCTGGTTTCGAATTCCTGACCTTGAGCAATCCTTCCGCCTTGGCCTCCCAGAGTGCTAGGATTACAGGTGTGAGCCACCGCGCCCGGCCAATGGGCATATTTTCAATGAAACAAAACCTCCTTTATGTTTCTGCTGAAGCCAGAAGCAGCTATAAATGTGGATCTCTTTGAAGAAACACATCCCTGGTCCCCTGAGATAGTCTACCAAGCAGGTACACAGGTACAGTGCTCTCCCCTCTCACCTCTGCTGAATCTCCAATGGAGAACAACAATGTGTGAGGGATATTGCTGGGACCCAAGCAATTCCTGGGAAGCCGCAGGAGAAATGGTTTTTCATGAGAATAACAAAGAAAATAAAACTCTTTTACACGTTCTCAAAGACAAATAAAAAAAGAAACTAGAGATAAAAATAAAATCAGCAATTTATCCAAATTTTCAATAAAATTTTACACACCAAATTTGGTTAAGACATGATAGCAAATTAAATTATGTATGAATTAGATTAAGTATAATTATTGTTCTACTTACTTGTGATAATGCTATACATCTCCTGGATATCTTAAATTCTCAAACACACAGAAGTGGGATTCATAGTACCTACACACCAGGCCACACGACACCCCAGTAGAGAAGTGCCTTTCAGTGCAATCAGCCAATAAACCACTGACAAATGAGATCTAAGAAACCTCTACCATGATCCAAGAAAGCAAACAGAAAAGAACAGTATCCTCTCAAATAAATATGTTCAAAAATTTGTGCATGATCACGAATCAAAACAATGGAAATCAGCAGTGAGAAAAATGTTTGAGAGATGAGTACAGTGTGCTGGCTCATGCCCACAATCCCAGTGACTCAGGGAGTTGAGGCAGGAGGATCACTTGAGGCCAGGAGTTTGAGACCAGCCTGGACAACACAGTGAGACTCCATTTCTACAAAAAATTTTTTTAAAATAAGATGAGCGCAGTGGTGTATGCCTGTAGTCCCAGCTACTCGAGAGGCTGAGATAGGAGGATTACCTGTGCCTAGGAGTTCAAGGCTATAGTGAGCTATGACCACCCTCCATGAACAACAGAACGAGATTCTGTCTCCAAAAAAATTTTAAAAATTTAAAAATCATCCAAAGGCAGAAAGAGAGGAAAAATGGAACAAAGAGATAAAAACAAATAGCAATATGGTATATTTAAACTCAAACATGTTAATTCACACTTAACGTAAATGATCTAGGCACTCCAATAAGAAGTCATAGATTGTCAGATGGGATAAAAAGAGCAATGACCTACTACATGCTGTCTACAAGAAACCCATTTCATTTTTAAATTATTTTTAATTGTGGTAAAATAAACATAAACAAAATTTGCCATCTTAAAATCAACCATTTTTAATGTATAGTTCTGTGGTATTAAGTTGTACTATAAGAAACCCATTTTAAGCATAAAGAGAACAAAATAAGTCTAAAATAAAAGGATGGAAAAAGATCTACCAGGCTAACACTAAACAAAGCTGGAGCGTCTATATTAATATTAGAAAAAGTAGATTTCAAAGCAAGTAATTTTACCAGGGATAAAGAGAGTCATTTTGTACTGATAACCAGGTCAGTTCATCAAAGAACACAGTAATACTAAACATTTATGCAACTAATAACAGAACTTCAAAACACATGAAGCAAAAATGGACAAAACTGCAAGAAAAATAGGCAAATTCACAATTATGTCAATTCCACTCTGGATACTTGATAGAACAAATAGACAGAAAATCACTTAAGAATACAGAAGATTTGAACAACACTATTAACCACCTTAACCTAATTAACATTTATAGAACATTCCAACCAACAACAGAATATATATTCTATTAAAATGCACATGAAATATTTACCAAGATAACTGTTACTCTAGGTCAGGGATTAACAAACTACAGACCAGGGGCCAGCTGCCTGTTTTTGTAAATAAAGTTTTATTTTAACACAGCCATGTCCATTCATTTACATATTATCTATGGGTTCATCCAGGCTGCAACAGCAGAACTGAGTAGTTGAGACAAACTATATTGCCTGAAATCCTAAAATGTATGCTAAAAGGTCCTTTAAGAAAAATCTTGCTGATCCTACACTGAGGCCATGAAACAAGTGTCAATAAATCTGAAGAATTTAGAACAAAGTATATTCTCTGACCACAACAGGATAAAATTAAATATGAATAACAAAAAGGCATCTGAACCCCCCCATTTAGATACTAAATAATACTTTTTTTTTGAGATAAGATCTTGCTCTGTTGCCCAGACTGCATCACAGTGGCATGATCACAATTCACTGTAACCGTGAACACCTGGAGTAAGCAATCCTCTTGCCTTGGCATTCTAAAGTGCTGGGAATGTAGACAGGAGCCTCTACACCTTGCCTAAATAATACACTTCTAAATAGTCCATAGGTATATAAAGAAACCAAAGGATAAATTTAAAGCATTAACTAAATAAAAACAAAACCACAACATATTCAAAATCTGTGGAATGTGGCAAATTTATAGTATCAAATGCCTGTATTAGAAGAAAACAATGGTCTCAAATAAATGAACTTAGTTTTCACTTTAAGGAACTGGAAAAAGAGGAATAAATAAAACCCAAAGCAAGCAGAAAAAATGAAATAAAATAAAGTAGAAAAAAAAACACAAAAAAAATCAAGCTGGTTCTTTGAGATCAATAAAATTAACAAACTTCTAGCCAGACTAATCAGGAAAATGAGAAGACACAAATTACCACTAAAAGGAAAAGAGAAGATGACATCATTATGAATTCTACATAAATTGCTAACAATCAGGGATTAATTTTATGCCAATTAAAAAACTTAGACATCAAACTTTTTAAACGGGGCCAAGAAGAGAAAAAAAAATATATAAAAAATATAAAAAACGAAAAAAAAGATTAAAAAAAAAAAAAAAACTTAGACAAAATGACAAATTCCTTAAAAAATGCAAACTATCAAAGTTGACCCAAGAAGTAGATACCCTAAATAGTCCTATATCTACTAAAGAAATTGAAAATTTCAAGCCCATATGGCTTCACTAGTGAATTCTACCAAACATTTAAGGATGAAATACCAGATCTACATAAACTCTTCCAGGAAACTGAAGAGGAAGGAACACTTTTCAACTCATTCTATAAGACCAGTACTATTCTGATACCAAGACTGAACAAAGACATTATAAGAAAAGAAACACTATAGACCTGCAGTCCCCAACTCCTGGGCCACAAACCAGTACCAGTTTGTGGCCTGTCAGGAAGCCAGCTACACACCAGGAGGTGAGTGGCAAGGGAGGGAAGAAACTTCATCTGTCTTTACAGCCACTCCCCATAGCTTGCACCACCGCCTGAGCTCCGCCCCCTCCCACCCCACCCATGGAAAAATTGTCTTCCATGAAAATAGTCCCTGGTGCCAAAAAGGTTGGGGACTACTGCTATAGACCAATATCCCTCATATTAAGACAGATGCAAAATATTTACAAGATTTTAGCAAATTGAGTCCAACTGTATATAAAAAGGGCAACACATCATTGCCAAAGATAGGCTTCACATTCAAAGACAATCAACATGACAAGTGTATTTCCTTTAACACAATTCAGTGGGGAGAGTCTTTTCATAAATGGTACCAGGACAGCTGAATATCCACATATGGAAGAATGAAACTGGAACCCCCACCTCACACCATTTATAAAAATTAACTCAAAATGGATCAAAGACCTAAATAAAAGTAAGAGCTAAAACTATAAAACTCTTAAAGAAAATATGGGTGTAAATCTTTATGACCTTGGATTAGGCAATGGTTTCTTAAGTATGATGCCTAAATCACAAGCAACAAGGAAAAAATAGACTTCACCAAAATTAAAAATTTGTTTGTTAAAGGACATATCAAGAAAGTAGAGAACTGCTCAAAGAATGGAGGAAATATTTACAAATCACATATCTGATGAGGGACTTGAATGCAGATTATATATAGAATCTTCCAGCTGAACAATAAAAAGACAACCCAATTCTAAAAATGGGCATAGAATCTAAATAGCCACTATTTCTTCAAAGAAGATACAAATGGCCAATAAGCACATGAAATAACACTCAATATAATTAGCCATTAGGGAAATGCAAATCACAATATGAGCGTACGATACCATTTCATATCCACTAGGATGGCTACAATAAAAAAGATAGTCACTAACAAGCGTTGGTGAGGATATGGAGAAGCTGGAACCCTCATTCATTGCTATTGGGAACGTAAAATAGTATAGTAGCTTTTTCATTTTTTATTTCATTTTTTAGAGACAGGGTCTTTGTCACCCACAACTGGTGATCACAGATCACTGTACTGTGGAACTCCTGGATTTAAGCAATCCTCTTGTTTTAGCTTCCCAAATAACTAGGCCTACAGGTACATGCCACCACACCTGGTTAATTTTTAAATAGAAACAGGGTCTTACTATGTTGCCTAGGCTGGTCTTAAACTCTAGGCCTCTAGTGATCCTCCCACCTCAGCCTTCCAAAGTGCTTGGGTTGTTATAGGTTTGAGCCACTGCACCCACCAATGGCAGCTTTATAAAACAGAAAAAGCTATGTTTAGTTCAAAAAACTAAACACAGAATCACCATGTGATCCAGTAATTTCTTTCCTAAATACAAAACCATAAGAACTGAAAGCAGGGACTCAAACAGGTACTTACCCACCAACATATCCCCTGACCTCACCTACCAGTGCTCCCCCCCTCCTGCTCCCTCTGCTCTGGCCACCAGGGGCCTACTGGCTCTTTCTTGAACTTGCCAGGCATTCTCCTATTATAGGACCTGGGCTTGGAGCTTTCTTCCCTCAGATATTCATGAGACTTGCCCTCAGCCCTTTTGGTCTTCACTCACATATCACCTTCCTAGGGAGGCCTTCCCCGCCACCTTAGGTAAAATTATAACCCACATCCAGACAACATTCCCCAAACCCTTTCTCTGCTTTAATTTTCTCCATCACACCTATCACTATCTAATATATTATACATTTTACTTTATTTATTTCACTTATTGTTTGTCCTCCATGACTGGGGCAAGATTTTTTTTTTTTTTTTGGTCTGTTTTCTTAACTGCTTTATTTCTAGCACCTACAACAGCATGTGACATATAGTAAATGCTCATTAAGTATTTGTTGAAAAAATGAACAGAAAATTACTAAAAGGAATGTGTTTGGTGTGTTCTGGTAAAAACAAATAAACAAAACCCCCAAATCCCAGGTCTTCTAACTTCCTTTGGCCCCATTTTCTTCATTTCCCACTTTTTTCCTGCCAGGACTGGAGCCATTCAGGCCTTCTCTCAACTCCACCTCATATATGCCCTGATCTTTCCCAGACCACTGTCCAGAACACTCTTCTTGTCACTCTCTACCTAGCAATATCTGGTTATTTTCAGATAAAACCTCTTTTCCTCACCAAGCTCCTTCCCAATCCCAGTCTTGATCAGGCCACCTAGTTACAGGCTTCCTCAGTCTTCATGGAACCTACCATACTGCAACTAAATAACCTTGTCTAACTAGTAGTTTCCTGGCTGTTTTCTTGCTAAAATCCAAGTGCAGTGACAGCATGGACTTGGTATGTCTTATTCACTACTGTATCCCTAACAACCAGAGCAGTATCCTGCTCAGAACAGAATCTGCTGAATCAGGCAATGGAGCACCGCAGAGGAGTCTGGCTCCAGATAAACACTCCTCCACAAAACAGGATGGTCGGCCAATGAACGGAACGGATGAAGCTAATGAACATAAGATATACCAAGAGCAGAAATAAGTATCCTCATCCTATAATAACTCTTCTGTAAGATACCACTCAGAAAATACTAAATGCAAAATTAAATACCTAAATATACTTAGGAAACTACTGTTTAAAAGAATCTGAAAGTTGTTTTACAATGAACATATTCCCTGTCAATCTTTCCTATGGGGGGGAAGCAGCAAATATCAATTTTCATTTACCAATTATGTTTAGAGTTTATGTATTATTCAATTAATGGTTATTAAAAAGGAACTATGCTTCAGGCACCATAATGGACATAAAAGTTAAATAATTATACCAGAGTCCAATTGCGTGAAGAATGGAAAAGAATGTTTCTTCAAGATTCCTTTCTAATTCTTGTGTCTATTTTTCTTGCCAGAAAAAGAGTAAACTCAGAATTACTCCTTAAACAAAGCCCTTATCAAATATCAGGTCAGATGAACCATTTGAGGGAAACAAAGCTTAAGAGAAGATAAAGTGAAATCTCCAAAAGCTATTCCTCATACATGGTTAATGGCTAAAGTATCTCAGAAATACCAGACCATACTTCTTTTACCATATGCTAGATTTTCCTGTCTTATGTAATATTCTGCCTTTCAGTGGCTTTTCCCTGTCTTCCTTATGCTGGGAATCTGGCTACAATTCCCAAACTCTAATGCATAGTTCCTTCCCTTGAAAAGTCTGCAACAACCACAAATACCAGCTTGGTCTAAACAGCATACCAAGTCTCCGAGGTCACTCCAAGATACGAAAGTGGGAAAGCTTATTTTTTGGCTGTTAGTATGGCCCTGAGATAACTGAAAAATTCCTAGAACAGGCAGTGTTGATAAATGGACCAACATGGAAAAAGAGAAGGCCAAAAGACCAGTGAAGAAGTACAAAGGGAATGGTGAGCAGATCTGCTCTGGGGGGTGGCAGAGAGTAGCATGTAGGTCTTATGGCTACTTTTCACCACTAGACTAATAACAGGTACCAGACACTAACTCCCTGAAATCTGATACTAGTTCTCATGATCCCCACGTTCAGACAGAGAAAATGTCCTTCAACTCTTCCCTACTCCACAGGGGAGGGTGGTTGGTTTAACGGGATTGTGGCCACAAAATGCACAGGGCAAAGCATGGCATAGATAAGTTCTATGAACCACACTGCCCAGACTCATGGGAGGGAGTCAGCACCTTGAATCCTGAACAAAGAGGACAAAAGATGACAAAAGACAAGTGAGCTCCAGCAGCAATAATCTAGCCCTCAAATATGGCATCAAAGAGGAGCTAGAGTCTCTAAACAGAGCTGTTGCCTTTTAAGACTGTTTTTTTTCATACAGAAGGCAAAAGAAATTGAAAGAATAGAAATGTCTGGAGAGGGGAAGTGAGAGAGGAGACTATCACTCTCCAGATCCCAGTTTTCAGAATCAACAGTCTGCACAAGACCTTAACTGTTGATCTGGAACACCAAGAGGATTTAAAAAAAAAAAACAACCAAACTATACACCTAATGTGTATCACACGTAGACTTACACATGGCAAAAAGCAAACTGAACATACAGCACTAAGATGGACTTGAAAGACTTATGAAGCAATAGTTACTGGCAAGTTGAAAAGGATAATCTCCTGAAAACTCAACTGCAAAGGCAGGCTTAGCTGTCCACGCCTCTCATAACCTATGGTTCTGTGGGAGAAACTGCCAGACTGTGATAGCAGCAACACTGCTCTCTATAGGTAGTCACCTCTATTACAGAAGAATTTACTGGCTGAAACACACTGAAGAGTTGAAACATACCCCATCGCTGCGGAGGGGGTTGCAGGATTATTCTTCAATTCCTGAACATTTACCACTTGAGGGACATTCTTCAAGGTTGATTCAGTCAAAGTGCTTACAGCTATTTAAATAGAGAAGACAGAGAACTATATTAATTCCAGTAAAGGATCAAAATTCTAGCCATATATAAATGAATAATCAGGACATGAACTCGAGCAGATTGCAACCTTATCATATAAAGGAAATGTACTCCAGGTAGTTCTGCAGCATAGTGTTCAATGGAACACCTGGCCTACTCCATTAACATGGGTCATGGAATGAGGCTTACTGCAATTTAATCAAATATACCAGTGAGGGGAAAAGAAGTCCCTGGCTAGCTCTTCTGCAGCAGAGCTGAGATACTTGCCACCTTGTTGGCTCACCATAGAGAATGGCAGTAAGAGCTAGAGGATGAACAGCATTCAGACTCAGGGTTTCTGTCTCTCATCCATTCTGTCTCTTCCCTCGGGCTTTTTAGTGCCAGGGTCTGCATTAAGTGCTGACAATACAAAAGGTGTCTATAGTTTTTTCTCTAAAGGTGCTCATGGCTTAGTGAGACAGGCAGGCACAATGAATAAAACGTGGAAAATTGAGCTTGGACAAGGATAAAGAGGCCAATAGGCCTGAATTCAGAAATGGCAATCGGCGTATGTATATTTGACATTTATCTATCTTACTTATCTCATCAGCCTTTACTTCTCTTTGTGTCTTATTTTAAATTGTATTCCAAAAGACTTAATGACATTCTATAATTAACTACTAAGGAAGCCTGAATAAAGCTCTTGGATCTCTTCTAACTATATTTTTGGCAAAGGTGAAAAATGTATGGCAGAACGATGGTGACTCTCTTTTATTCGCTTCTTCAGAGAAGCAACCAGGAACACTTTGCCTATGACTGCATATATTTCGTCTTTCATAAAGGCGCCTACACCTTAGAAATTTTTGCTTCCAACATGTTAAAGGAGATCACACCACCTCCTGCTGAGAGTGGACCAATCTAAGTTCTGGCAGACTTTAAGTTTACAAATAATCAACTCAATCAGCTTGATTTTGGGCCTGTTCAGCACAATGCCATATTCTGCTTGGTCCAAGTAATATTTAAAGGGAAGATTCTGCTTGGTCCAAGTAATATTAAAAGAGAACACCCCAGAATTTTATTTTCAGAAAGCTCAAGGTTACGTTAAAAAGTTATCTTGTTTTTTGTTCTTTCATATTTTAGGTATAAGTATCACCTAAATTTAATATTTTTTAATAGTTTAATTTTTCTTTAAAGTCTTTCATCACTGTTTAATGGCAATTCTTTTTTGCCTAAATCAAACCACCATGACTTTTTAATCTTTTAAAAAAGAACTCTAAATTGATAGGTGTTCTAAGCAGTGATAAAACTGAAAAATAATTCTACTCAGCTTAAACAAAAATATTTGGCTTATATCTGAGTTTCTTGCCATTGGCACTATTGACATTTTGGGGCTAGATAACCCTTTGTTGTGGTTATCTTGTGCATTTTATTTTTTACTTTTTTGCAGCATTCCTGGCCTCTACCCACTATCTGCCAGCAATACTTCCAACTGTTTCAGGGAGAGGGAAGAGTGGATAACCTCTGGTTGAGAACCACTGGCTTATAAAATTGATAACTAGTAATAACTGAAGTCCTGAGGCCAACTACCTAGATTGCATAGAATTTTGGAAAACCACAAACCACTGACAAAATGTAAGTGTTGATTAATAAAACTTATTGGAGTTCCCATCTGTAAAAGCTAAATTTACAGCGTTAAGAAAAAGCTGTACTGAAATAGAAACGGCAAAGGGTTGGAGTCTGGGTTCTACCACTTATTGGTTAGTAACCTTCACCTCCTTGAACCTTATATGTTACTCAAATGCAAAATGGGCACACTAATAGCTACTCCTCAGGGTGGTTGGGATCCTTAAGATACTATAAGACAATTCTAATGTTATCAGATGATCTAATTTTAAAGATTAACTTTTAGGGCTCAAAGTAGACATTATTCAAAACTAGGGATTATTAACTTCATAAAACAAAACAAAAACAAATCTACCACTGATTTCCCACTTAACTAAACGAGGCAGATCTAATACCTTTCCTTAAAAGGAAAAAAATTTCAGACCTAGTATCTGCCTTCTAGGAACTCTCTCCCCAAAAGGGGAGAGGTCTATCACATCAGTCTTCTCTTCTCAAGTATAACAAAGACAGCCAGTTGTTTCTTGCCACCTGCTGTCCTGGTCTGTGACTCAGACAGCTCATAATCAGCCTCTGCATAGCTGTGGGGCTACAGTTTTTACCTGGCACCTGATTGGCCATCTGCCGTCTGAGTGCTGCAGCAGCGGCTGCCTGGGGAGCTGAGATGGGATGAGAAGGACCAGGTGCGCCATGTTTCACAGTTTTCGTTGCAAGCATTGTGCTATCAGCCCCTTGAGGAATAATTTTACTAGTAGATGTAGACACTGAAGGGAAAAGAAAAATTAAGTGAGAAAGGAGGTCAGAGAAGAGGAACATACAAAAGTTAAAATGGCTGTAATCCTAGCACTCCAGGAAACCAAGGAGGGTGGATTGCTTCAGGTCAGGATTTTGAGACCAGCCTGAGCAAGAGCGAGACCCCGTCTCTATTATAAATAGAAAGAAATTAATTGGCCAACTAATATATATAGAAAAAATTAGCCGGGCATGGTGGCGCATGCCTATAGTCCCAGCTACTCGGGAGGCTGAGGCAGGAGGATTGCTTGAGCCCAGGAGTTTGAGGTTGCTGTGAACTAGGCTGACACCACGGCACTCACTCTAGCCTGGGCAACAAAGTGAGACTCTGTCTCAAAAAAAAAAAAAAAAAAAAAAAAAAAAGTTAAAATGCTAAATTCTTCCTGTTAGGTTGTAAGGAAAATGCTAAAATTAAAAATTCATAAACATAGCATAGAAAAGTACCAGCAAACTGACAGGCTGACACCCATATCTTTCAAAGATAGCACATGCAATTGGCCTGCCCCCCTCTACTATTAGCTATTAATAAAATACATTATGTGGCCGGGCGCGGTGGCTCACGCCTGTAATCCTAGCACTCTGGGAGGCCGAGGCGGGCGGATTGCTCAAGGTCAGGAGTTCAAAACCAGCCTGAGCGAGACCCCGTCTCTACCATAAAAATAGAAAGAAATTAATTGGCCAACTAATATATATAATATAAAAAAAAATCAGCCGGGCATGGTGGCTCGTGCCTGTAGTCCCAGCTACCTGGGAGGCTGAGGCAGGAGGATTGCTTGAGCCCAGGAGTTTGAGGTTGCTGTGAGCTAGGCTGACGCCACGGCACTCACTCTAGCCTAGGCAAGAAAGCGAGACTCTGTCTAAAAAAAAAAAAAAAAAAAAACATTATGTGAGCATTTCTTCCTATACTGATTGAAATTTAACTTTTACACCAATACAGATCAATTCCCTCATCTCCTCTCTTCAAAAATCTTCAGTCTAGTACCTCATGTCCATATTTTTCTCTGCTATAAGTCACTTTGATGGAAAGTCCTGACACCCTGCACTGCAGGTGAGAGAACACAATACAGGCCACGTCTGCGAGCCAATACTGAAGGAGCATGGGAGCTCGTAAGTAAGGCTGAAATGAGTTTTGAGAAGCATGAGTGCAGATGTGCTTTATACTGAGGCAAGCAGCCTCCTCCTTCTACCCCCGAAAAAGATCTGTTTTAAAAAACACATGCTGGACTCAACAGAAAAGCTATTACAGTGCATAACCTTGGAGAGTCTCCTCTTCCTTACCAGGGCCTACAAACTGCTTGCAAAAGGAATGCACATCTTTTGAATTAGCCTTCCAATTTCTGGAATATTAGCAGAAATGGGCTGGAACTAACAACCTTATTGGTGTGATAGTGTAAAACTTAGTTACAGTTCCTTTATTAGTTAGAAATCTAACAGAGAAAAAAGATAGATAGTTTCTTTTCTCACTGTTTACTTACTTGAAGTTCCCATCACACTAGGTGAAGAACCATGAACCATATGAGATTTAGCGAAAGTTGCCTGAGGCAAGAGACTGGGCTGGATGGAAGGCGTGCGAACCACGGGGGCATGCCGAGGAACCTGGACCACTGTCTCCTCATCTTTACAGGATGGCCGGGCATCTTCATTCTCCAGAGACTGGGAGACAGATGACGTTGAGCTGACTTCATCCAAGTCTTCATAATATCTCTGAGACAGAAAGGCTGACCGAGACAGGCTGGCTACAAAAGTCCCAAACAAAACAATTTAGACAACTCAAAGGAAGTCTAAAAGCTATATAATTTTCACTGTCAATAAAAAAAAAATCCAATTTGTAAAATGATTTAATTGTTACTTATTTTAAGTGGAAGCAGCTGTTGTCGAATTTGAACAAAGATGGTTTTGGGTCTTTGTTCAAATGGGGCTTTGAAAAACTGAGCTGTGTGGAGAAGAACATTTTGGCTGTCAAAGAAAAGAATGTGAAAAAAGTGAGAGACAGAATTAATGCTGGTGTCAACGCAGGAGACCTGGAGCCTTCACCAGAAGTTGTCACCAGTAGAACAACATACCAGAAAAGTAACAGGCAAGCTTCCGTGGTAGGGTGAGCAGTCACACACTACCATCGCTTTCCAACAACATTTCTAAGACAGGCCTAATGCAAACTGGAAAAGAATGTCCTCAGTGTCTCAAACATTTCCAGATAAATCTAATGATTCTTTTTACTCAATTAGGACTTTAAAAAATAAATAAATAAAACACTGACCTTAATCCTGGCCTTCTGGTTTTTTTTCTTTCCTTTTTTAAATTATAAAGTAAGGCTTTACATCATATTACTTTCTACCATGAATTTTAGAATGCATGTTACTTTCTGTATACTGGAAAAACAAAAATTGAACAGAAAACCAAGCCCTTTCTCCTCCCCAAGTTATTTTAAAATGACTTTGCTAATACTAACTTGTTTGTCCCATATGCACATCATTATGCAAGATTGTATTGTCATAAAATGTCATACATGTAAGTATAACATAAACAAATGCAACAGGAAACCAATGCTATGTGCTAGGGCTGCAATGTCCAATTTGGTAGCCACTAGCCATATGTGGCTATTTAAATTCAAAGTAATTAAAAGTAAATTAATGAACAATTCAATTCCTTAGCTGTACTAGCCAGGTATTTCCAGTGTTCAATAGCCATGTGTGGCTACTGGCTACTATGCTGGACAGCACAGACATAGGACATTTCCATCATTGTGGAAAATTCGGCTGGACAGCACTGTGCTAGAGTATTGTGATACAAATAAATATGCAGTAGGATCACTCAGAAATTCCACCAGTAAAACTGCTGTTAACATTTATTGAGAACTTAACTGGTACCCGGTGCCGTGTAAAGCACCTATATATATTATCCCATTTAAGCTTCACAATTATCCTATAAATTAGAAATTACAGTTATGCATTATGGTTGATGCTTGGAAAGGTTAAGTAATTTAACCAAGGTCATGAAGCTGATAAGTAGTAGAGCCAGAATTCAAACCCATGTGTAACTGACTTCAAAGACCATGTTCTTTTTTTAGTTTATTTTCTTTATATTTTTATTCTTTATTTATTTTTTATTTGTCTCAGCAAAGTTTTTGGACTGAAAGGACCATGTTCATACACTCTGCTAAATAAGACTGAATCCTATGCCAGGCAGAATTTTGCCACCTGGTACTACAACCATGTTATTATGTTAGGCAGCAAAAGGGATTTTGCAGACATAATTAAGATTATTAATCAGTTAACTTCTATAGAAAAGTTGCTTTGGATTATCTAAGTCAGCTCAATGTAAAATCCATGAGCCCTAAAAGGCAAAAAGGAAGTCAGAGAGGTTGTGGCACAAGTCCAGGAAGGCAGAGATTAAGTATGAGGAGAATTCAACGGGCCACTGTTAACTTGAAGATGAAAGAGGCATGGGGCACACACCTAGGAAATCAGGACTTCAGTCCTACAACTGCAAGAAACTGAATTCTGCCAACAACCTGAATTAGCCTGGAAGTGGAATCTTCCAGAGCCTCCAGATAAGAGCTCAGCTGAGACAGCACCATGATTTCAGCCTGTGGGCCCACAGAAGAGGACCCAGCTGAGCCACACTGTGTCTGGACTTCTGACTCACAAAACTGAGATGATATGGGTTGTTTTAAGCCACTAAGTTTATGATAATTTATTACAGGAACCATAGGAAACTAATACAAACTCCACATTCTCTGGAGGCTACACTGCTCTCCATAATTTCTCTGAAACCCTAGCTCCTAAGAGTTAGTAACAACAAAAGATGACTAAGATCGTCACACCACCTTCAAGAACTGGATAGAATGAGAAAGTAGAATAACTATATTTAACTCCCAAAGTCCAATATAACCTGGGGGTTCTCTCAGTTTCTTTCCTTTATCTTTCTGATGACACTTGTTTGCCTTGTAGGGTAGGCAAACTGAAAGATGCAATGGCCATGCTCACTTGCACAAGCTCAGAGCCTGGACTTCTCACTATCCCAATGATGCTGCTTCCATAGTGGATGGGCACCACTCCCTGCTGTGATCAAGGATGCAGCTAGAAATGGGGCCCCACAGAAACAAACAAATAGATTAACTAATTAAGACAGGGTCTCACTCTGTTGCCCAGGCTAGAGTACAGTGGCATTATGATAGCTCACTTCAATCTCAAACTCCTGGGTTCAAGTGACCCTCCTGCCTTAGCCTCCCAGGTAGCTGGACTACAGGTATGAGCCACCATGCCCCACTAATTTTGTGTGTGTGGAGACAGGGTCTCACTATGTTGCACAGGCTGGTCTCAAACTCCTGGTCTCAAGCAATGTTCCTGCCTCGGCCTCCCGAAGTGCTAGGATCATAGGCCATGAAACATAAAGAACTTTATTCTGTTTAAACTCTATTCTAGCTCAGATTAGGAAAGGCAGAAAGCCATGAGTGCAGGGTGTGGTGGGGGGGCAGGGGGATCATATGATCATCTCAGTAGATACAGCAAACCTCACATCTTAGGGTAAGCTATGGAAAGTGTTCTTTTTGAGATCAAGGCAAGGATACCCACACCCCATTTTTAAAGGACTCGGCACTGGAGGCTCTAGTCAATGAAATAATATGGTAAGAAAAAGAAATAAAACGACTGGGAAGGCAGAAACATCAGTGTTAGTATCTTTGGAGAATATAATTGTTTCCATAGCCACAAGTCTAAGAAATAGCTACAGATATGTTATTAGAATAAATGAGTTTTGCTAGGTTGTTGGCTACAAAGTAAATATACACAAATAAGCTGTATTTCTATTAATATATACCATATCCAAAACAAAATTTAAGGAAAAAAAATCTACCATTATAATAGCATCAAAATGTTAAATTTGGCCGGGCGCGGTGGCTCACGCCTATAACCCTAACACAGGCAGAGGAGGGCGGATTGCTCAAGGTCAGGAGTTCAAAACCAGCCTGAGCAAGAGCGAGACCCCATCTCTACTATGAATAGAAAGAAATTAATTGGCCAACAATATATACAGAAAAAATTAGCCGGGCATAGTGGCACATGCCTGTAGTTCCAGCTACTTGGGAGGCTGAGGCAGTAGGATTGCTTGCGCCCAGGAGTTTGAGGTTGCTGTGAGTTAGGTTGACGCCATGGCACTCACTCTAGCCTAAAAAAAAAAAAAAAAAACAAAAAAAGTTAAATTTTTAGCAGTATATCTAACAAAAGATGTGCATGTCTCCCATGTAGAACACATTAAGAGAAATTAAAGAAGATCCAAATAAACAAATGTGTGCCATGTTCAGGAACTGAAAGGTCACCACTGAACAAATGTCAATTCCCCAAGTTGATCTAGAGACTCAATGCAATCTCAATCAAAATCTCAACTCTTCTTTGATGGCTGAGAGAGGTAAAAAATGTTCCCCCTTTTTCTTGTGGTAAGATACACATAACATAAAATGCACCATCTTAATCATTTTTCAGTGTCTAGTTGTCCCCATTAAACACTAGCTCCCAATGCCTCGTCCTCCAGCCCCTGGCAGCCACCACTCTACTTTCTGTCTCTATGGTTTTGAGTATTCCTAGTATAGGAGGTAGAATTTAACAAGACAGCTCTAATGTTAACATGGAGATGTTGAGCACCAAGAAGAGCCTAAATACTCTAGATCAGGGGTCAGCAAACTACAACCATGGGCCAGCTGTTTCTTCTTATAAATAAAGTTTTACTGAAACATAGACATGACCCTACCTTTATACATTGTGGCTGCTTTCCCATTACAAAGGCAGAGTTAGATAAGTGTAAAAGAAACCACAGGGCCTGCAAGCCTAAAATAGTCTCTATCTAGCTCTTCAGGAAAAAGTTTGTCAACCTCTGCTCTAGATTGTAGAGCATTCTGTAATGATAAAACATTCTTTATCTGTGCTTACCATTATAGTAGCCACTAGTCACACGTGCCTACTGAGTACTTAAAATGTCACTACTGGGATTGTGAAACTGAATTTTTAATTTTATTTTAATTAATTTAAATTTAAATATAGTACCCTATTGAGCAGAATGGCTCCAGAATCTAACAAGAGAACAGTATTGAGACTTATTTTATATTAACTAGTTAACATACTAGTTAATATAACTAGTTAATTAAGACAGTGCAATAGTAGTACCTTCTAATCAGTATGTGAGACCGACAAATATACAATATTTACAATAATGGCGACTCTGCTAAGCAGGGAGAAAAGTCTTTTCAATAAACAGTGCTGGGGCCGGGCGCGGTGGCTCACGCCTGTAATCCTAGCACTCTGGGAGGCCAAGATGGGAGGATCGCTCAAGATCAGGAGTTCAAAACCAGCCTGAGCAAGAGTGAGACCCCATCTCTACTAAAAATAGAAAGAAATTAATTGGCTAACTTTAAAAAAAAAAAAGATTGGTACAACCACTTTGGAAAACTGGCAGGATCTACAAAAGCTGAGCATATGGACAAAATATGAGCCAACAGTGTCACTCTTAGCTATATGACCAAATGAAAAAAGTACACACGTGCTCCTAGAGACATGCACAGAAATGTTCAGAACCACCTTCTTTACAATGAGTATAAACTGAAAACAGCATATGTATAACAAAGACACGATAAACAGAGTCATAGCATAACATATAATGAAATGCTTCACAGCAACAAAAACAAATAAATAATAACTACAGGCAACCAAAATGGATGAATCTCTACACAAATCTGATGTAGAAC